AAAACGACTTTCTTCTAGTAATCAAAATGAGGCCTTTCGAGAAATCTGAGAGTCATCAGCCCATAATTCTAATAAAGGTGACTGCTGTTCTATCACGTGCTGTCTTTATTTGCCAAGCAAAGATATTTTATTGGTGAGCACATGCTTGTCTAAACCCAGGAACAATCTTTAAAATTATATTTTAGGAGAGCAACGGGACAGTATGGGGGAACTAGTTAGAATGCCACAGGATTAAAACCAAAATCTTCCCTCTGACGGCTGCTACATATCAGGAGAAACTGTCTCTGCCAAAACCACCAGGCAAACTCCCCATCCTATCCTACAATAATAATCAAAGACAAAATATTCTGATACTGGTTTAGAGTCATCATTTCTTCAGGGCAAGAATTTGTTTGCTGTGTGACATCCAGTCCTGTTGTAGCCTTATGTGAAATCACTAATAAATTAATAATAAAATTTGTAAAAAGCTAAGATACAAGAACTGAGAGTCATTTTCTGTACTAAGGACTGGATTGATTTCCTTCTTTTTGATTGATTACCTCCTACTCAGGTAGGAGTAAGATTTTTATAGGTAGAAAGTAGGTCTAAGGCTTAGTTCTTCTAGAGACCTCACTGATGTCTCTGCTTATTGAAAGTCCCTCCTTTTTTTCATCAAAAGGGAGCAAAAAACCCAGAAAGTTCAAATTGATGGCACTGGTTCACCATGCCTGAAAAAACTAGGTGTCACTCGACTCCACAATAATCTTTTTTGATCATGCAGCCACCAGATTTTATTACAGACCCCTTTTCACTAAATCTCTTCAGTTTTAGTACCTCATGAGGACAGCCAGCTGGGAACTCCAGCACTATTGTAAGGCAACTTGAATAGTGAGAGATTTGCCCCGTAATTATTACAAAACCATTCGCACAGACTTCTGAGCATCAGAACTTGTAACGATGGCCTACGACAATATGATTTTATGTGCCATATATTATCCTACAAAAGTAGTGATGTCTAGCTTCTAAAAAATAAACTCTATTTTAGGGCACCAACACACTTCAGTTCAAAAATATCACTTTCAACCTTTGGAAAAAGGAAAAATAAGGCAGCACTACAAAGGGAATCTGTCTAACAGTCTGCCTCCAGGCTTGGGGACAGTTCTGCTCACTGATTTGCAACCAATGGTTTGGAAACTCTGGTTACCGAATGTTTACTGAGAAAAATTCTGATTATATTTTAAGGAAGCTTTTTTATCTGCTACCTTTTAATGTGTTAATTTACTGTACTGAAAAGCCAAAGGGCCAAATTCAGCTGTCTGATAAGGCTTCTATTATAGGAGCGTCGCTGGATGTGCACCGAAGGCGTTATTCATCTGTGGAGAGATCACCGAGTAATATTGTCAAAATAAACACTTTTGAGTTGCACATCCTTGAAGAAAAGATAAAGGGATTGTGAAGAGAATGAGAAGGCATAGAGCATCAGAGATGAAGAAAATTAGATAACGGGCCAGGAAGAAACTGTTTGATGTAAACAGAGTGACAAGTTAGATGAAGAACTCTCATTAAAGCATGCAGTATTTGCCTGCAAGCAATTCAGGCAACGAATTTGTTTACAACTCTCTGCCAAAATCAACAGCAGATGCAAAAAAATCATCAATATTGGGATTTCAAATAATATTAAATCTACTGTATCCAAACACTCACTAGGACTATGTGAAGGAAATACACAGCTTGGTGCCATTCTATTCTTTGTCAGACTAAGTAAACAAGGTTGCACCCTGTTGCACATTGACATGCAGGCCCTGCAAAAGCTACTCCCAATATGAGTGTCCCACGAACGACTCCTTGGTTGCTTTAGTATGCATATATCTCTGAAAATATATACTGGTGCCAAGGTTTTATTGCTGGTGTGGAGAAAACTCGGATTTTGTGAGGACTGTGTAATCTCGGGAGTGACTGTAGGTTACAACAGAACCTGTTGTGACTTTACCAAATTAGGAAAACAAAATCTGGAGATGTGGTAGAAAACTCATGATACCACCTTGCATTGATATGTAGCATTGCCCTTCACCGGAAAGCGTCCATCAGAAATTATATAGAGGCTACATTAAAAGCAGTTGCTTCCTGAGCAGATGTTGACGGTCCTGTGAATCAAAAGAACCTTGCTCCAAACCAGTGGGGAATTAGGGTTTTGGCAAAGGCCACTAAGCACAAATCCTATTGTAACTGAACCAGATTTAATGAGCGCTCCTATTCCTCTTAGTCCCAGGTTAACATCCCCCTCTAGTGACCTCAACTTATGGTGGGGACTTTATTCCTCAGCAGCTTGTTGGCTGATGTCCCTGTACAGTTCTGTTAAGACGATGGGAATTTGAGTCACCGCTTTCCTCCTGGCATGCTTACAGGTTAAAAAAATACCTGGCTGGGAAGAACACGCAGTGAGAGTTACACAATGTGCTGGCAGCAAAACCGTCCCGAGCAGCTGAACTCTCGGCCTTTCCCCAGCCCCTCGTTCTCACCCTCGTGCAGGAGTTCACTGCACATGAGCTTCCTTTTTGTGCCAGTTCCCTGTGGGGCCATGATGCAAGTCAGACCATTGTTGTGATCCGCGTTAAAAATAACCCTTCCTAAACCAGCTCCACTACTAGAGCCAACAGATTGTGTATCTGCACCGTAAGACAGCTCCTTTGACGCACTGTTGTGCACAGAAAGAGGCAGAAAACTGTGTCAGGTGCCACTTTCTCAGGCTTTAAAGAAAACGTATGGCTGGTGAGCCACAGAAATAAAGCCATGCAGATTCAACCACTCCCATGCTGCAGAGTTCTTGAAATCCACATCACACCTAAATACCAGCAGTGGGAATTCCTGTCTGGTTTTGCACTAGCCTAAACAAAAAATTCATTGGAGCTAGTTTTTAAAAGACTGACATAAGGTAACCAAAGGCTTAAGGGCCCTCTCTGTTAAAATCCAAAGTGAGATCATAGATGGGGATGTGAAGTGGTGGGAAACCACCAACTACAGGGGAAAACAAAGCATCCATGTGCAAAGCCTGAGTATCGTGCTGCAGCTCATGACTCACCATTTTGCTCATTCAGTGAGGGAGCTGACTGCTCATTTCTCTCAAACAAAAAGGGCCTTTCCATTTCACACCATTGTGTGGAAAGGCTTCTTGCAAAAAGATTTGAAAAAAATGACAGAACCCCCTGTTATTTAAAGATGACGTTTGACAGGCTGAGTCCATCAACAAGACACCGTTCAAAGCCAGCAGACCGTTTTCCATAGATTTTTAAAAAGATTAGAAAAAATGCTGGCAATTATTTATTTCCATCTCTTATCTGAAACTTCTTTGTCTCTACACTGGGAAGGAGACCTGAAGGCAAATGTGAAGAAGAGAGCGTGCTTCTTTTATTAGTTGAAATTACACAGTCCCAATGGCACAACTTCTCCCTATAGCCTGTCCCCTATAGTAAAAAAGGGGCTGATAGCTGTGAGACAAGCAGATTTGATCCCGTTTTCTCATTACACAATCTTTGGTTGTGCAATGCAAGAGTCTATAAAAAGGAGGACCTGAATACACACAGTATAAAATGCAGCCACTTCTTCACTCACATTTCAGGACCCTTCCGATGAACTCCACATCAATTCTATTACTTTGTGTGCCATTTAGGATAACATTGTACAGAAGAATGGCAGAAAGACTCGTTATTTTTAAAGGTGTTTTACAGTGTGCTTTCAGTTGCAGCTCTTGGCTTTTGAGATGTTGAGAAGAGAAAAGAATGGCTTGTTCTTTGCTTCTGTTTTGAAATGGATTTGTTTATGTATTCTAGATAAATCGGAAAAAAAAAAGAAACAAAAAAATCCACACTATTCTACGCTATTCTGTGTCCTGCCAGTGTCTCATTGGTATGCAGCATACACTAGATTTGCTTAGAAGGATTTAGCTCAGTAGCTGGCACGTTTACATTAGAGAACAACATACACAGTTTCAATCGATTTCAAGCATTCCTACAATGGGAAATAAATATGAAAAGTGGTCGCTGCTGAAAGTTCAAAAAATGCAATCAACAAATTGTAAAATCGCAAAAGGCCAGACAGATTTAATAAAATATTTCCATTTACCTTCCTCAGCTTTACACAGCCTGTTCAAAATAATAAGATCCTCTGCAGAGAGCCTTTATCCAACTGTTTATATCACTTCATACAAAATATGTGTTTGAATTACCACAGCATTACAAGGATATAAATTCCCAACACGCGACATGCCAAACTCAACATAAGTTACGCTTTCTTGGCATCTAGACATTTTCCTTTTCCTTTTCTGCACTCCAAATACATTTTCGTTTGAAACAAATTAAAAAGCATGTAGATGTTAAAACATAATGACAGCTTAGAATTCAAGTGACTTGTGCAACATTATTTTGTGCTTTCTACGTCTTCATTTCCTCCTACTGCAATTAAAATTCATCATGCCCTTCTACATATAGAACAGCAATGCATCAAGTTCAGTCCAGTATAGGTTTTCAACCCTCAGACTTGGCTTTATGCTACACGAAATCCTTCCACATTCAAAAAAGTGCATCTTTTTTGTGATCTTTCTTTTACGTTGGATGATGTGAAGCTCTGATTAGTTGATGTAGGAATGCAACCTTGAGGTATGATTGCAGCCTCGTAATAATTCTTAAATGTAAAAAGAAATTTTTCGAGCGTGCACGCCCTTTCTGGATTTAAAAAAGACACCGTTATAATGGTGCTACTAGAGCCACGGTACTGTACATCATGGCACATCTCCATAACATAATCAAGGACATGACATAGAACTTCTATTTACAGAAACTTGATGCCACTTCCAGAAAAATATGACAGGAAAAAAAAGGAAAATTTTATTTCCTGAATGTCCTGAATTTTTAGAAGATTCCTTTTACTTTCTCTTCAGCAATAGAGTGGTCCTCCACAACTGTATTTTCCCTGACCTGTTTAGTATGGACCATAAGCGACATCAGCA